GTGAATGAGTGAGTGAGTGAGTGAGTGAGTGGGTGAGTGAGTGAGTGAGTGTGGAGTGTGTGGAGTGTGTGGAGTGTGTGGAGTGAGTGGAGTGAGTGGAGTGAGTGGAGTGAGTGGAGTGAGTGGAGTGAGTGGAGTGAGTGGAGTGAGTGGAGGGAGTGGAGGGAGGGAGGGAGTGAGTGGAGTGAGTGGAGTGAGTGGAGTGAGTGGAGTGAGTGGAGTGAGTGGAGTGAGTGGAGTGAGTGGAGTGAGTGGAGTGAGTGGAGTGAGGGAGTGAGTGAGTGAGTGAGGTGAGTGAGTTGAGTGAGTTGAGTGAGGTGAGTGAGGTGAGTGAGGTGAGTGAGTGAGTGAGTGAGTGAGTGAGTGAGTGAGTGAGTGAGTGAGTGAGTGAGTGAGTGAGTGAGGGGAGTGAGTGGAGTGAGTGGAGTGAGTGGAGTGAGTGGAGTGAGTGGAGTGAGTGGAGTGAGTGGAGTGAGTGGAGTGAGTGGAGTGAGTGGAGTGAGTGAGTGTGTGTGTGTCTGTGGGTGATGAGTGATGTGTGTGTGTGGTGAGTGTGAGTGATGAGTGAGTTGTATGTGAGTGATGAGTGATGTGTGTGTGTGGTGAGGGGGGAGAGGAGGGAGAGGAGGACGGGAGGAGGAAGGCGGAGCGGATACAGAACTAAAAACGAAAACCCCACACGTCAATGTGGGGAACAAAAAAAGAATTTAGACCTGTTTCACCATGAGCCACACTGCTGCCTGACCAGAGCACAGAGCCAACCCTCCGCTGGAGGAAGCTGTAGCCATCGACGTTTTCTTTTGCACGTTTTCTCCAACTGCCATACTAAGTGCTGCGAAATCTGTAAGCACGACAGCCCAAGGCCAGACACTGCTCACTGCCGTGGGAAATGTTGCAGCCAGGGCTTTATGTTTTTCTGATGACTTGCCATTCCAGCTTGTGTGCCCCGTGCATGCTGAGGCATCTCAAAAGATTCCCGTGAGGGGGCTAGCACTACCAAAGTGTTGCAGTGCGCGCGAACTTTTGACCAGAAAAGGAGCGTAGAAAAAAACAAAAGAAACAAAAAAACCAAAACCCACACACAAAAATAAAACAAAACACACACACACACAAACTCTGTCACACACACAACTTTGTCACACACAACTTTGTCACACACTCTCTTTCATACACAACATTGTCACACACACAACTTGCTCACACACACACAAGTTTGTCACACACCATCATTCACACACACAACATTGTCACACGCACACACACACACAACTTGCTCACACACAACTTTGTCACACACCATCGACCTGCGTTCTGCGTGGCAGGCATGGCACTTATGGCACTGGGCTGGGCCTGGTGGCGTGCTTGATCGCCGTTAGTGGCCTGGGGCGCCCCGGCAGGCACTTGCTGACATCCACCTTCTTTTTGCGTGGCAGGCGTGGCACTTGGCGACATGTATGTGTGTTTGGGGTGGCAGGCGTGGCGCTTGTGGCACTGAACTGGCTCTGGTGGCGCGCTTGATCGCCGTTAGTCGGCAGGCGCGCCGCAGCACTTTGCCTGGCAAGCGTGGCACTTGGTGACATCGACGTTCCATTTGCGTGGCTGGCGTGGCGCTTGGCGACATCTACCTGCGTTTGGCGTGGCAGGCGTGGCACTTGTGGCACTGGGCTGGCTCTGGCGCGCTTGGTCGCCGTTAGTCGCCCATGGCGCCGCGGCACTTTACGTGGCAGGCATAGCTCTTGCTCACATCCACCTTCGTTTTGCGTGGCAGGCATGGCACTTGGCGACATCTACCTGCGTTTGGCGTGCCAGGCGTGGAACTTGTGGCACTGGGCTGGGTCTGGTGGCGCACTTGGTCGCCGTTAGTCGTCGGGGTGCCCCAGCACTTTGCGTGGCAGGCGGGGCACTTGGTGACATCGACGTTCCATTTGCGTGGCAAGGGTAGCACTTGGGCGCATCCACCTTGGTTTCGCGTGGCAGGCATAGCACTTATGGCACTGGGCTCAGCACTTTCACACACGACTTTGTCACACACAACTCCTTTACATGCAACTCTTTCACAAACCATTCTTTCACACACACACAACTCTTTCATATGTACCGTACAACTTTGGCACACCGAACTCTTTCACACACACACACACACACACCTCCTTTGTCTTTCCTTCCCTCGTCCTGCTCCAACTTCTGTTTCTAATTATTGGAAGAAGTTGACTTGTGGGGTTATTCTGTCCTTCAATTGTCTGTGTGTGTGCATGTGCCTTTTGCCATCCAGCCTGTACTTGATTCGAAACCTGGGGACTGGGGCCGGGGCGGCATTGTTTATCCCACGCTCTTGCGTTTTAAATTCTAAGGTGTGATGTGCTGTACCATCCCGGGACGCAGGCCCAGTTTGAGAGGCTGGCAGGTACTGTGAACCCCTCTTCAACTCATTCATAGGCAAAGGCACCAGCGCCAAGAGAGCTTCGCTGGCGTACTCATTTGCTCCTTGGTGCCCAAGTTTGCAGTTTGAGGGCTTTGAAGCTGCGGGCGAAATTCATCCTGACTTTCACTTTAGGATTTTTCCATCAACACTCTAAACGTACGTCCGTCTCTACTCTAATTTGATGAATCTTGGGAATAGAAGAAAGTACAACATGAAAACTACCGGACAGCCTTGTGCATGTCATGCCAAGGAATTTTTCTTCAGCGAAAAAAATGAAAAAATGAAATCAATACTGAAAAACGCGGATGATGGCGGATGTCTGTCTCTTCAGGTTTGACAATCCGCCGACGAATATTGCACCAAACAACAAATCAGGGACCGTCCACACCCGCCAGAAATCAAGAAACCTTGTGTTCACTTACGAAAATAGACCATGTCAGAGCATGTCATGATCTGCTGTCGCCCGGCCATCTCCCATTTCCACATATTGCCACCGGTCTCCCACCATTGCCACCAAGCATCGCAGATTCACACAGTGGTTGCACTGCCGTCCGGTTTTTTCACCTCTTCTTTGGTGGCCTGGGCAGCGGCCTTGGCCTGGAAGGAGGCGGAGCTGACCTCGGGGATGGCTGCCCAGCCAGCAGACTGAGATGTTCAGTGTTTTAAGGAAAGACGTGGAAAGACCATGAGCAGTTGTATCACCCTTGTATTTGCAACAACTTCAGCAAGCACCATCATCACCACGAACCCAATAGACTGGCTAAGACAAAAAAATGTCTAATCCGTCTAATCCGTATTCTGTAGAAATCTGACTATTAGGTAGATTTTTTTTTGTTTAAGACAACTTTTTTTTGTCTTAGACAAATTGAAACTACATCAGATTTTTTTCAAACTGCCTCAAAGCTGCCTCCAAACTACCTCCAAACTACCTTATCATTTTTCCATCATTTTGTGGAGGGTGGGCAAAAAGTAAGAGAAATAGTGAGGCAGTTTCCCCAAAAAATGAGGAAGTTTCCCTTTAAAACATGAAGTAGTTTGAAGGCAGCTTCAAAAAACACACGAGGAAATGTCAAGGAAATTTCCTCGAAACTTCCTCGTGGAGGGTGGGCAAAAATCTGACTTAAACAGCGTTTATTTGTCTAAGACTCGTGTCTTGGACAAATCTGTCGAGCAACAATTTGTCTAAGACACATTTTCAAAATTTGTCTATTAGACAAATTTTAAAAATCTAACTATTAGACAAATTTTTGTCTTAGCCGGTCTATTGGGAAGTAGCTGTATACATGGGACAAATGGATACAAAAAAATGGGCCTTTCATGTCACCTGAATCATCATTGCCATCACCACCGTCAAGATCGTTTTCGTCGTCGTTGTCGTCGTTGTCGTCGTGGTCGCAGCGGTCGATGGTCTATAGCGTCATCACCGGTCATCATAGTCATCATGGTCCTCATGATCATCATCGTCGTCATCGTCATCGTTGTGGTCACAATCACCATCATCACCGTCATCATCGTCGTTTTCATCAGCATCATCATCATCATCAACATCATCATCATCATCATAATCATCAGCGTCGTCATGGCTATCGTAATCGTCATCATCTTCCCCCTCATTCCCCCCCGTCATCATCATCATCATTTCATCATTCACGACCTTCGAGATTGGCATCATTGCAACGGTGACGATGACTATGACTATGACAATGTTTATATCGGTCGTCAAGTTGACGATGATGAAGCATGGTATTGGCCATGGTGGTGGTGGTGGTGGTGGTGGTGGTGGTGATGGTGATGATGATAGTGATGGTGATGGTGACGGTGACCTTGATGGTGATAATGAGGATGATGATAGTGATGATGATGATGATGGTGATGATGGTGATGGTGGTGGTGGTGATGATCACGCTGATGTTGTTGATGGATGTTGATGTTAATGATTCATGATGTTGATGATGCTGATGACATTGATGTCAAAGGTGATGATGATGATGATGATGATGATGATGATGATGATGATGATGATGATGATGATTGTGATAATAAATGATGATGGCGCGACGATGGCGCGCTGATGGCGCGACGGTGGCGCGATGCTGGCGCGATGCTTTGGCGCTTTTTGCGTTTAGCTGTTTTATAACGAAGGTTATAACCATTTACAAACAATTTGCAGGGTCCTCGCAGCTAACTAATTAGCGGGAGTTATAACCACTTAGCTCAGCAAATCCTCGTGATCAGGAAAATGGCCACGAGGGTCCCACAAAAAGGCCACGAGGGATTCCAAAAAAACACGCACGAGGGGGCAACATTCAGGCCAAAGGACATATTGAAAAACACACCGGAGGTTGCAAAAAACACAAAAAGGACCACTCAAATTTTCAATGCAGCAGCAAAAAAACAGGAACAACCCGTCTCCAAAAAGAAGCAGGCCAAATATCAGGATGCAAATTTTGGACTTTGCGGGCTGTGCTTTGTGAAACAAGCCCTCTCTTCAGGCGATAGGTGGGCATAGCTTCCGTCAACTGGGTGACAGATTCAGCCATGGTGGGGCGAGCCTCCACCAAGTTGGTGAGGCGAGCCTTCACTCCAAGTTCAGGATGTATTCCTTCACCTGCACCCATGCCTCCTTCGCATCCTGGCGTTTCCAGCTGAAGGCCTTGTCCTTCTTCTCACCATCAAGTTTGACCCTGTAGTTGGTCGACTTGGGGCATATGTAAACTGTAGCGTTCTTGTGGCGAACGGGCTCATGTGCAGCTGTCCCAGGGAATGGCAAGACCTCTTTCTTTTTCTTCGGGCTTGCTTTGGGCGCAGCATTCTTGGTCTTGGGAGGCGTACTCTTGGCCTTGGCCACAGCAGATGTTTTCTTTGCTGTGGCTTTGGCCTTTCCCTTTGGTTTGCTTTTGGCTTTTACCTTCGGCATGGGCACGTCATCGCCCTCGGTGGTCTCTTCAGCAGCGGTCTTCTTTCTTTTTTGGCCGCCAATGGCTGCCAAGATGTCATTCGCCATGGCATCTACGCTTTTGGGTTCCAGCGGAGGCAATTCCTTGCTGTCCTTTGCAGGCAGAGCTTCGCAGGGTTCGCCTGCAGCAGGCCGAGCTTTGCTGGTTTCACTTACAGCAGGACGAGCCTTGCTGATTTCTTTTGCACCAGGACGAGCCTTGATGCTAGGTTCTTCATTACTTGGAAGCGATGTCTCGAGGTCGACTTCATCCTTTGGGTCTTGCTTGCCTGCCAAGTTGTGAGAAGCAGCTGGCCCGTTTGCCAACATGAGTGGTTCCACCTGTGCAGAGGCAGCGCTTGGCATCAACTGTTTCCGGCGTGTCATGTTCAGCTGCACTCCAGAATTGTTTCTCATCATGCTGGCGAAAGCTGCTGCCATGTCAGGGTTGCTCATGGCATTCATGAGCATCTCCTGGAAGTTGTTGCCAGTGCGTAGTCGCGAGGTTCGCTTTCCCCAGGCACCTCGCACTGATGTGTGCGTGTCCCTTGCAGGTAGCACAACTTGTAACCATCCAAGCGCGTGAGGATCCAGACGGCTTGGCTCTGGCTTTTCTTGTCCAAACGCTTTCATGAATATGGGGCCGGGCAATTCTGCAGGATCCATTGGGTAGTTGGTGATCCCAGACTGCGTAAAGCCTTTCAATCCTCTGAGCACAGATTTCAAATCCCGCACCGTATTCAAAGCATGGACGCCGGTGATGTTAAGTTCTTCCAGGGTCCCTTTGTGCGACGTCAAATACAGAATTGCGACTGCATGCACCACAGTCGGCTCTGTTGGGTTCAGCAAACCCAGGGCTGCCATTCTTTGCGCTGCCAAGTTGACCTTGTCAGTCAACCCATCCGAAGCCAGTTTTTCCCAGTCCTTCTTCAAGAAATAGTTGTCCAAGTGCAGACATGTCTGCCTTGGTTTTTCCTTGTTCTTCTTATTCCCTTCGTTGCAGCTGTTCTCTGCGCCTGTCTGAACCTTGGCTTGCACCAGTTTCACTAAAGCTTCACGCCATGCCTGGGGCACGGTAGCTTTCTCAAGCTTTCTAAGCATGCTGGCCCCTGCTTCTATGGTTATGGGCGGGGCGCGTTCAATATCCAGCATGCAGCTTTTCAACAGGGGGTCTAAGGCGTCCTTTTCAAGGAACCCCCCGCAGCTCTTTTGGAGAGCAGCGAAGTAGTCAAGCATCCCATCAAAGCGGGCTTCAGCCATGTGGTTTGTCCCTACAATCACAAGCAAAAGCTTCGCTCTCAATGTTTCTGCGGGCAAGCCTCGCAGCAACCCGTGGTCAGCTTGAACCAGCGTGGAAGAGGAAATAAACTCATGCAATCTTTGCCCACCTGTGAGAGTGCAACGGGCTTCTGGGCGGTAACACTTGCAAGTTATTGTTTTTAGCGCAAGTTGTGGATCCGTCGTGGTTACGCATCGCAGCAGGCGAGCCTTGCTTCAAAACTGGTATGATGGTGCAGGCGAGCCTTGCACATTCAGCCGGAGTCAGAGCTTGAGGAAGAAAGAAAGCCACGCAGGCGCCATGCGGCAGGGAGTCTTGGTTTCTGACAGGGCCTTCCGATGCTTGCCGTGCTGGCAGGTCGCTTCTTGGTGGAAGGCCCCGCACGTTCTTCACCCAAAGGCTGTGCCCCATCACCGTCATGTTGCTCCTTGTCATGGGGCCCAGGATGGGTTTTGTCCAATTTTTCGTCTGCAGGTTTGTCTGATGATTGGTGTGCAGCCGGTCGTTTGAGCACCTTATGTCCTGCCTTCTTTGGTTTGCTTTTCTTCCCAGCACCGTACATGGCGTCAGCCAAACGCTCATGGAAACGCGTGGGGAACTCCAGCTCCCTTTCTCCTTTCTGGGGCAGCTCACCGAAGGCAGCCAGCAATGGGGCCATTGCTGCTCCAATGAGTGGCACTGGATAGGCATTTCCTGCTGCCTTGACTTGTAAGGCTTGGCTGGAAGCGAATTGTTCGGCGACTTCCACGTTGAAACCTTGCAAAACAAACCGCTCATGCGGATGCAAGAAACGGAAGTGTGTCCGTTTCTGATCTGGGAGGCCCACCTTCATGTCTGACACAAACAGGTATGAATTCGAGGTGGTCAATGTTGGTGTACGATTGACGCTGATATGCCGCTTGTATGTTTTGCCATCTGCGCGGTCCAGTGGGAAGCAGACAACGTCTGTCTCTACGAGGCGACCTTCCTGCAAAAGTTTCCGCAGTTGTTCTTGGCTGTCTTTCAAGTTTTGGGCCATGCGCTTTGTGAGCTTCTTACGGTCCACACAAGGCATTGACGCCAGAAAGTCTGTCAACACTCTGTGGCCAAATGGGGGTAGTGGAGGTGGCACCGCCCCGCTTGGGCACAACGTGCTCCGGATCCCACGCAAGAACACACGCGTTCTGTCCTGCGCTAGCTTGTAGTCCACCGCCTTGAGGGTGTCCACCTGCCAGAGAAATTCCTGCACTTCTTCTTGCAAAATGTGCAGAAGCTTTGACATGAAACTTTCTTCGCCACCTTGGCGGTGTAAAATGCCTTGGACATTTTCCAAGATCGCTGCTTGCAGCTCACCACACTTGGCTAGCGAAGCCACTATATTCACAATAGCCAGAAAAGCTTTTGCTCGGAAGTCTTCCACACCTTTCTTGTTGCCATTTCCTGCCCAAGGCGGGCATGGCGGGCCACTGCAAAGCACATGCACTGGGCGCTCCAAGTCCGACAGCTGGACCTGGACAATGTCACCATTGTGCTTTCCGAAATGAAGAGGCGAGCCTTCTTCAACCATGCCCTGCCAGTACTCCTTGTATCGCGTCTCCAGGTCGTATACGTTGTTTGGTGTAAAGGGCACCCCCATAGCTCGGAGTGACCAACCAGCACCGTCTATTCCGCAGCATGGCATTGCTATGTGGATTGGCTGGGCGAGCCTCAGCTGTGGAAATTCTGTTTTCCAGTCATTGGGTTCGGGAACTAAAACCTCCGACCCCATCTTCAAACCAAAACAGCTAATGCTTTCTTGAGCCGTGCTTGCTGGGTATATACACTGTGGTGTTTGTAAGTATGTGTGCAGATGTGGGCCAAAGAAAAACAGATGCTTCAGCTATTTTCCTGCTGTTGCATTTGTCAAAATGCACATTGTGGTTGGGAAAGTAGACCTGTTGACATGCGCCAAAGCTGACAAGCTGGAAAAAGCCTTGTAAGCCCAAAGAAAAGCAGATTGTTCATTTTTCTCTTTCTTGCAAAAATTGCATCATATACTAGATTGCACTGCGCATCACGTGGGCAAGCCTCACGGTTTAATTAAACTAACTGCCGCCGTTCATGGCTCGTGCGTTTCGGGGTGGCTCTGGAGGAAAGCGCCTCATTGGGGTCCCGGATATTTGCAGAGAAAGCAAACCCATCGATGCCAGCGAGTGCCATGGGTTACCCATTTGCACTTGCACGTGCCATCCTTTTCAGACAACTGGGACAACATCCAGTCTGTGTATGCAAGCTCATAGTCGATCGATGGATTCTCAGGGAATTGCTGGGTGTCCTCGCCCACCTCTATGTCTCTGTCTTCCCAAAAGTCGAGGGTCAAAGTTTCAGCGCCCATTGAAACAGGGGATAAATCTTTGGAGCTGCGTGGCTGCTTGCGCGGCGCTTCTTCACCTCCGCTCCTTCGCTTTCTTTGGGGCGAGCCGTCGCATGTCTGCAGCTGGGGCGAGCCTCCACCTAGCTGGGGGGGACCTCCAGCCATCTCAGTCTGAGTCGTGCGTGCAGGAGCGTTTCTTTCCATGGGTGAAGGCGAGCCTTTCACAGAGACTTTGTGAGCCAAGTGCGCGCTGGGGAGTACGTGTTTGGCCGGGTGTTGGACGCTTTTTGTGTTCTTTACGGCTTGCACTTATATTTTTGTCACGCTTCAAAGGCTGGCCTTTGAGCTCGTGTGATTTTGCCCATTCCCAAATTCATACACAGTGGAAGTTGCACACGCGGAGCGCCACCAAAAAACCGTGACTTTCACATTTCATTTTTTGAAAGAGAATGGTCCCAATAAGGCCGGGTATCCAAAGTCATCCCGATACGGCCCCGATACGGCCCCGATACGGCCCCGATACGGCCCAAAATGTTTCGTTTTTTGATTTTTTTTTCTGCAAACAAAAAGAACGGGATATTTTCCTTTCTCCTCATAAGGAATCCCCGTGCTGTCAAAATTTGCCGCCTTCAGGGCGAGCCTCTGGAAGTTGAGCGGGCGAGCCTCACTCCTGGCCGCTCGCACCAGTGGCAACAAAAGCATGCGCCTGATCCACTTGGCACTTGACGCGGCCCATCATCTCTGTCAGCTGCTCCATGAAAGAGTCTGCCTTCTTGATGACCTCATCTGCGTCGCCATGGCCACTTTCAAGAATGCTGTCGCATTCAACCCCAAAGGCCACAGCGTCATCCACCAGCTTTGTGGAAGCCTTCACGACATAGCCAGGCACCAAGTCTTTGACTTTGTCACCACGCGCTTTGCAGTTCCAATCCATCAGCTGCAGCTTCTTTGCGTTCATCAGTTCCACTTTCTTGGAAATCTTTTTCTTGCCTCCAGCCTTCAACTTCGGCAGCTCACTTTTGGCTGCTTCTTTCTTGCCCTTCTTGCACTGGCTCGAATCTGCAGCCGTCTCATCACGTTCACCTTGTTCAAGCGGAATTGATTGCCTCTTGCGTTTCTGCACCTTCGCGTACTCCTCGGTCTCCACAGCCGTGCGCTTATATTTCACATCCTCGAAAAGCTGCACCTGTCGAACTGGACAGAAGTAGGTCCGGGTGTTGGCCTTAATAGCGGCCAATTGATCTGGCTTGTTCTTGTACTTCTCCTCCAAATCTATCTCGTCCAGGAAATCGCCGGTGCCCTCGAAGGAGACGGCGCTGCTGGTCTTCTTGCTTTCCGTCACTGTCTCCTGGAGCCTGGTCAGAAGGTCCGGTCCCGCCTGCTCCTTGTACTTCTTGTAAAATTCTTTCTTCTCATTTTCAGTCACCTTCGTCCAATCCTGGGCCAATGAGCCATAGTGGCTCAACACCCGGTTGATCCTACTTTTTAAATTGTGGCATGCCCTGCAGCGCAAAGAAGTAGCTGTCTTCCCCACTGCCCGTGCCACAACCACACCATTCTCCTCAGAGACAGGCTTCCTGCAGGTGGAACACAAATTTTCTGCTGGAAGTCCAGGGCCGGTCTCCACCTTGTCCAGAGGAACTACGCCACTAGGCGTTTCTGCACAAGATGTTGCCGTCTCAGCTGGAGAAGCCGCTTCGGTAGCTTCACTGGCCGCAGATTCGGGGAGAGCTTCTGCAGTGGCAGTAGCAGGCACTTCGCTAGCGGCGCTCATGGCGCAAGTCTCTGCAGGCGAGCCTTGCAAAGATTGAAGGCGAGCCTTTCAAAGATCTGAAGTCAAATCTCGGGTTTGTGGGTATATATGGCTGCTGCGACTACAAAGAACTGACGTGGTCGCATGTTGGTGCATACCTTCTGCAAAACAAGCACAGCACTGTGACCCAAAGAAACACTCCATAGATTTGGCATGAACTGGTGAGGGGTAGTATGAAGGGTTGGATCTTCCTTAACACAAAGCACATAGGGTTTAAACTGGTTTATATGTTGTACATAGATATAGACATTTGCATGTCTGACAAAATAGTATATATAATTATATTATAATATATATATGTTTATTTTAAAAGTTTACATATAGGGTATGTACAAAGTTATATATATACATATATGCAGGGGTCGACCAGTGCCATTTACTCGCTCAGCTAAATGCCCTGGCTCAGTTCGTGTGGGCGAGCCTCACACAAGGACAAATTCCGCCATTTCGTTTGCAGAAAGAAATTGGCACCATGTCCTTAGTGCAAACAAAAAGCCTGGCAACGCCAGTGCTTCGAAAAGTATTGCTGTCCCGAACCTGCTGATATAAGTCCCCGTGGATCAAGAACTCAGAGGAGTTCAAAAGCCGAACCTGCAAAAAGAAGGATGCCTGAGCAAGGTGCTTTGTAGCCGGAAACCATAGCATATCTGATGCTGACACCCGTCCACCTTCAAAACGCAGTGTCTTTGAAACATTCGCTTCTTGCATGTCCGGATAGAATGCCCGCAGCCACTCAGCTTCCATGTCCTGCGCCCGTTCCAGGAAAATAGGGCGCAGCATATTTTCATCATTGGAGAAAGAAGAGAAATTTTCTGCAACTGCGCGGTACAAGACTCCTTTCTCAACGTTGGCAGAAATCAAAAGCGCCAGCTGCTTCACTCCCTTGTGCTTCTTCTCAGGGCTGAAGCAGCTGAGATTGCAGCCAAACTCCCTGAACAAGGACGGAACATGTCGTAGCCAGTGTGTTTTCGGCTTGTTGCAATCCGGGTAAAGTTCTAGAAACCAAGCGTGGTGCTGGGCAATTTCGATTTCCAAGTCACCAACAAGAGGCAACGCCTCTTCCTGCATTGACAAAATGTCAATGATTTTCATCATGCTCTCTAAACTTCTGGTTTCCAGCTCCAGGATGCCAGCCGGGCGCACCACCAGCTGGAGTATTAAGCGCCAAATGTCCGTCAACTGGAAAAGCTCATTGGCAAACGCCTTTAAATGGGCACCGTCTTTATCCACCACACGCTTTTGGAAATATTTCTTTGACCAATAAGCACCCTTTGGCCACACAATCTCCGCAGCAAGATCGTCAAGGGCCCGCAAGGACACGCCAGCACTGCAAAGGCGCCTAGCATATTGATTGAACTCATACTGAGCAATCCCACCACAGGCCATCAATATATGCATCCAGTCCCAGTAGGTGTGTGATACAGGGTTGACAATGCCTCCCAAATCTTCACACCACAAGATGCCAAGAGGGTCGAAAACAAGCCCGTAAGATTGCTCCAATCGCTCGAAGTCTTTTTTGCTCAGGTTGCCAGCTTCAAGCTTCAGATTCTGTGCCATAGTCCGGAAACTGTCAGCAGTATGCAAATCAAAGCGGCTTGAATCTGTGCAAGTGTAGTGCACCAAGTAGCCGCGGTCTGGCAGGTCCACCCGGCCCATCACATTCTTGCACAGGTGGCAAGGCTTGTAGGAACTAGCACCTTTCGTGCACCAGAGCTCTTTCATTGCTTTCTCGTCTGAAAGTAGGGCCCCGAAACGCGCTTTCAAAATGAAGTCTCCACCACTTGATTTGCAGCAAATGCCTGTCCTGTCGAAATCCCATGCTAGCAATCCTTTGCCAAAGAATGTTTTCACCATGAAGGCAAACAGGAAAGAATAGCCACCTGCTACGTGCTCCACCAGCGACAGAGGAAAAAGCCCGAAATAAAACCAGCCACAGTGGCGGCTCCGAAACCAGGACGGTAGTTCCATCAATGTCCAGTAGAAGCACGCCAGTGATCGACCATGATCTGGGCGAAGCACATTGCCTGGTGTAGTTTCATCCATGTAAAAAGCGATCCGTACGGACCCAGCCCCCCGCAGCATATCGCCAAAACGTGGTCGGGCTGAAGTATATTGGTGAATGAGAGCAAACGGGTTTATGTATTCCCATTCATATGCCTCGCCGTTGGTGAATTGGATAGGGCACTTTTGGAGAATGTGCCCGTACACGGAATCCTCCAGCAAAGGCCTGATGATACCTTTACGGAGCTGGTTTCTGTCTCCCCCAGATGTTCGTGCCGCCACGCTCAAAGTCACAGTCGGAGGAACAAAGGTGTCAAAATTGGGCCTTTTTCTCTTCATATCAGAAACAAGAGGACAAGCCTTCTTGCCACGGAAGAGGACGAGCCTTCCTCCATTTTTGCACGGAAGAGGACGAGCCTTCCTCCAGCTTCTTCCTGGAAAAGAACCTGCTAAAATGGCTGCGGTCATGCACAAGCACAAATTGCCACAACTTGCCCATGCGCTGTGAAGACAGAACGACGAAATTCAACGGTCAACTTGGGAAAGTTAAGGCTGCCAGTGCCAGCCATTTTCACGCTAGCGCTCATTCTGCTAGTGTCAAGATTCTTTAGTGCACGGGCGAGCCTCGTGCCAAGAGATGGGCGAGCCTCACTTCTTCCTCTGCCAATGCCGCTGATCATGCTGATCCCCATGCCCCGTATCCTCAGACCATCGCTGGCGGTCCTTCCTCTTCTTCTTGCGCTTTTTGGCATGAGACTCCTTTGTGTGTGTCTCTTCAGGCAGGATGGTCCTGTTGCTTTCTTCCGAAGGTGACACGGTGTCACGTCGGTCATAGCTCCTGCTGGGGTCTCGGGTGCGGTCTCTTTCATCTCTTTCATCTTTTCCCGGGCAAGGCTCTGCGCGGGGCTCACGTGCAGGGCGAGCCTCTGCACTCTGGTACACATAGCCGTAGCTGGGTTGCCCTTGGTAGTAGTGCCAGCTTTCCCAGCAGCTCATACGCCACTGCAAACCAGCAATGGTCCCTTCCGCTGTTTTGAGGCGGTTTTGCAGCTCCTCATGTTCGCTTCTCGGAACCCATTTGTCAGCATCCCAAGTGGACCAGGAGTGCCAGGAACCATGCCACTTCTTCTTGCTTTCATTCTTGGCACTGGCAGCAGCAGGATCTGCACGACCCTTATCTTCACCGTTCTCCTCTATGAACTTCACGGCCATGCTATGGGCTTCTTGCAGCCCGTTGGCTGGGCCAGTGACAGTCAGCATCCGGGCGCCCCACTGGTTCCGCTCCCTGACTGCCGCAGAGCAAGACGTGGCAGCTTTGATCTGCTCCCGCTGCTCACTTGTGATCGTTCCCCGGACGGGGATGGGACCAAGGTGTGCATGCAAAGAGCTTGAACTCTGCTGCGCCATGGGTCGGGCGAGCCTCGACCCGATATATGTGCCGGGCTAGCCTCGGCTTGCTTTTGGGCGATCGTCGTTCGTTTTTTCGCTTTGCAAGTGCTTGCTTGAAAAACAGCTGCAGGCAGGACAAGAGCTGAACTGAGATTTCCTGTGTTTGATTGTGTGACTTGGTTGGCTGTTCAAACTTGGAGAAAAAGTTTGATTTTGTGATTTGTTTGGCTTTTCAAATTCGCCAAAAAAATGTTCAGGCGACGGAATTCTGAAACCCACGAGAAAAACGAAGGACTTACAGAACTTAGCTAACCCACTTATAAGCACTTAGCCAGGTGGTCCTCGGGCCATTTACTAAGTGGCCTAAGTCTGAGCTAACCATTTATAGTTTAGCCGTGACTTATAACTCAACATGCTCAGGGTTAGATGCATTATAAATTCATTTGGCGTATATATAATTCCACTTGGTGCACTTATAAGCCAAGTTGTAAGTTGCACAACTTCAAAAAGCACCAAAGTGATGGCGCGCGAAGATGGCAACGATGACGATGTGGCGACGAGGACGGCGACGATCCCAGAACCTCCAAAAGTCCTTAATTAAGGTAGCCACCTTAATTAAGTGATCTGGACTTTGTCCCAAAATCTTGGTTTTGGAGACCTTAAGTAAGTGATCTGGAATTTTGGCCAAATAGCTTAATTAAGGTCTCTGGATCTTTTGCTTTTTAAGTGATATTTTTTGATGAGACATTGATCAAATCATGTTTGCTGCCCAGAACTTCCCAGATTGCTTAATTAAGCAAGATGGCTTAATTAAGCAATCTTCATTTAGCACCTCTTCGCGTTTTAGAGTGCTTAATTAAGCAATCTGAAGTTTCTCTAGGTTGCTTAATTAAGCAATCTAGATTTTGCTCAATTTTGCAAAATTTGAAAGCATTGGCTCGAACCAATTTTTCTATGCCATGGGTGGCAACCAGGTGCTTCTTTTTTTTCCGTGCATGCAGCCAGCAGCAGTTCTGCAAATTAAGAATGTGATTTTGTGGCATTATATTTATTTTAAACAAAGGTTTGCCTAGGCAGGGTTTATATAATTAATAATGTCAACGGGGAAAAATGAGGAATGTAGTAAAGTAAACCTAGAAGATGGCACTTATTTGGGGACTAGTGGGGGGCAAAATGTTGTTTGGTAGAGATGGCCTGGCGACCCTTAATATGGTACCAAATTTTTTGGGCAAAAGGAACCATTGTAGAGACCACTTCTCTGATGAGTATGTCTGGTCACAAGCAACCATTATAGACATCACTCCTTTGAGGAGTGCTCATGAGTAGATAGTATAAGTGAGTAGTGAGTAGCCAGTAGATAGCAGTTGTGGCCAGTTTCAAGTCAAAAATGGGTAAGTGAGCAACGAGTAGTGAGTAGCCAGTAGTGAGCAATGGTAAGTTAGTAGGGTAGTGGGTAGTGACTAGTGGGTAGTGAGTAGTGGGTAGAGTCAGTAGTTTATAGTCAGTAGTTAGTGGTGAATAGTGATTGTTTTATGGTTTCTAGTTGCTAGCCTGTATAGTGGTGAGTGATTAGTAGTTCGTAGGTAATACTCAGTAGGTAGCAACTAGCAGTTAGTAATTATAATGGCCAAAGTGCGGAAGCAATCCTATGGTACCTGCACTCCTCTGAGGAGTGCTGTTATTTTAAAAAAATACATTGGAAAACGCAATTATTCTGTCCAAGTATATATTGAAATTTGAGCCCCACCAAGTCTTTTAAGAGTGGGGCCCAAAGTTGAAACTAAAAACTAAAATCTGTTCCTTTCAAACCTTGTTAAAAAATAGTCAAGGCTGCACCCCACTCACAATTTTAATTTTTACTGCTGCCCAAGGTTGAAAATTGAATCTGTTTTTTCAAACCTTGCCAAAACATATATAGCCAAGGTTGAGCCCTAGTTTTTTTTAACTGCGGCCCAAGGTTGAAAATAGAATAGGTTCTTTTCAAATTTTGTTTCAAAGTATTCAAGTTTGAACCCCATTAAAAAGTATAATTTTTAGTGGGGCCCAAAAATAAAGATAACATTTGTTCTTTTCAAACCAGGTGAAAGTATTCAAATTTGAGCCCAATCATTTTTTCAGGGTGGGGCCCAAGATCGAAGTATTCAAAACTTTGAGCACCACTAACAATTGTATTTTTTAGTTGGGCCCAGACTTGAAGATAAAACATGTTCTCTTCAAATTTTGTTGATAAGTATATATTCAAGTTTGAGCCCCACTAACAATTATAATTCTTAGTGTGGCCCAAGGTTGAATATAAAATAAGTTCCTTTAAAATTTTGTCAAAAAGTATTCTAGGCTGAACCCCACTAGAAATTAATATTTTTGGTAGGGCCCGAAGCTGAAGATAAAATATGTTCCTTTCAAATCTTGTCACAAAGTATTCAAGTTTGAACCCCAGACAAAAATCAAAATTTTCAGTGAGGCCTAAAGTTGAAGGTAAACTGTGACAGTATTGAAATTTGAACCTCGCCAAGTTTTTTTCAGGGTGGGGCCAAAGTTGAGGATAATATATGCACTTTTCAAATCTTGTCGCAGTATTCAAATTCGAGCACCACTAAGAATTGTAATTTTCAGTTGGGCCCGTAGCTGAAGATAAAGCATGTTCTCTTCAAATCTTGTCGAAAAGTATTCAAGTTTGAGCCCCACTAACAATTGTAATTTTTAGTGTGGCCCAAGGTTGAAGATTAAAACAGTTCCTTTCAAGTGTTGTTTAGTTGTAGCCTTTTGTTTTTATTTGTTTTGCAGGTTTTTGCAGGTGCCCTTTTTTCTTTGCTTTGGTTATGAAAGGGGTCAGAAGAGGGCACCTTGAAAAAATGCCCCAAATACATGAAGAAGGCATTGCAAGGCATGAGCCCTAAAGGTGATAAATGTGTTGAAGTGTTGTTGGCATTGTAGCCTTTTGTTTTTGTTTCTTTATTTTTGCAGGTGTCCTTTTTTCCTTTGCTTAGGTGATCAAAGGGGGTCAGAAAAGGGCACCTTGAACAAATGCTCCAAATACATGAAAAAGGCATTGCAAGGCATTGCACTAAGAGGATTGCCATAGCTGCAAAATGCACTTGAACAAAGGGAAACTACATTAGCTTGAATTTACCACCCAGCAAGATTGGGCCTTGGAACATATAGAGCCAAGGTCAAAAACCATGAGGCTTTTATATGTGGTAGAATTAGTAGGTGTTAACAAATGTGAACATTTTAACATTTTTTAACATTTTTTAACTGTTAAAAAAACTAGGTTTATATACATAAATCAATCTAAAACCAGCTTTTTTAAACAGTTAAAACATGTTTTAAAAAATTAAAATTTTCACATGTGTCAACACCTACTAATTCTACCACATATAAAAGCCTCATGGTTTTTGACTTTGGCTCTATATGTTCCAAGGCCCAATCTTGCTGGGTGGTAATTTCAATCTAATGTAGTTTCCCTTTGTTCAAGTATAATTTGCAGCTATGGCAATCCTCTTAGTGCAATGCCTTGCAATGCCTTCTTCATCAGTTGGAGCATTTGTTCAAGGTGCCCTTTTCTGACCCCCTTTGATCACCTAAGCAAAGGAAAAAGGGGCACCTGCAAAAACCTGCAACAAAGAAAAACAAAAACAAAAGGCTACAACTAAACAACACTTCAAAACATTTACCATCTCTAGAGCTCATGCCTTGCAATGCCTTCTTCACGTATTTGGAACATTTTTTCAAGGTGCTCTTTTCTGACCCCCTTTGATCACCTAAGCAAGAGAAAAAAGGGCACCTGCAACAACCTGCAACAAAATAAAGAAAAAAAACAAATGGCTACAATTCAATCAACACTTCAACACATTTACCACCTTTAGAGCTTATGCCTTGCAATGCCTTCTTCACGTATTTGGAACATTTTTTCAAGGTGCCCTCTTCTGACCCTCTTTGATCACCTAAGGAAAGGAAAAAAGAAGGCAACTGCAAAAACCTGCAACAAAATAAAGAAAAAACAAAAGGCTACAATTCAAACAACACTTCAACACATTTACCACCTTTAGAGCTCATGCCTTGCAATGCCTTCTTCATGTATTTGGAGCATTTGTTCAAGGTGCCCTTTTCTGACCCCCTTTGATCACCTAAGCAAAGGAAAAAGGGGCACCTGCAAAAACCTGCAACAAAGAAAAACAAAAACAAAAGGCTACAATGCAAACAACACTTCAACACATTTACCACCTTTAGAGCTCATGCCTTGCAATGCCTTCTTGATGTATTTGGAACATTTTTCAAGTTGCCCTCTTCTGACCCCTTTCATCAACTAAGGAAAGGAAACAAGAGCACCTCTAAAAAATGAACCAAAACGAAGAAATGTTCCTGGAAGGTAATGTAGTTTCAATTTTGGCCCTACCCTCAAAAAAACTCGGTGGGGATCGATTCCTTTTCAGCAAAGTTAGGAAAACTGTTTATTCTTCAACTTTGGGTCACCTTTTTTTTAGTGGAACTGAAACTTGAATCTTGTCGACAAGAATTGAAGAGGACATGTTTTATCTTCATTTTTTGGCCCAACTAAAAATTAGTGGGGCTGAAACTTGAATACTTCGACACGATTTGAAAGAAACATATATTATCTTCAACTTTGGGCCCCACCCTGGAAAAAATATGGGGGTGAAGTTTGGATACTTTCACCAAATTTGAACAGGACATAGTTTATCTTCAACTTTGGGCCCCACTGAAAATTAAGATTTTTGCTGGGGTTCAAACTGGAATACTTTGTGTCAAGGTTTGAAAGGACACTAATTTATCTTCAGTTTTGGGTCCCACTAAAAATTGTAGTTCTTGGTGGGGCCCGAATTTATAATTTTTGCTGGGGCTCAAATTTGAATACTCCGACACAATTTGAAAAGAACAGGTTTTAGTTTCAACTTTGGCACCCATGTGTTTTTAATGGTGAAGATCGAATTTGAATACTTCGACAAGATACTTTCAGTTTCCAATTTACTTTGTTTTCAAACACACTCCTCTGTGGAGTG